GACGAAGATTGTACAAAGTCTTGCCATGCCATGTTCGGCTGTGAGGTTAACGCTGGTTTATGTCCCGGCACAATGACGGGTTCTGCGGATCTCAGATGGTCCCATTTCCTGCCACGCATCGAGGCGCGTCCGTAGCGCATAAAATGGGGGATTTTGCCTCTCGTTTCCTGGCCCTGGCCAGCGAGAGGGTCTTGTGGATCGACGAAGCCATCTTTCGAGGTTCGTCTTTGGGGGTCACTTGGTGACGAGTTATGTTGTGGTGGGACAGCGCGAGTGGGAGGCCGGAGTAGTCGCAGTTGGTCGTCGCTTACTGAGCCATGTTTGTCGTCCCATGAATCAATCCAGGCTATTTCTTGGGTTAGCTGAGAAGGCGAGCGATGGATTTACAAGTCGCTTACGTGGGAGGGACCGAGGGGGACGTAGACGGGCAGATCTGCCAGCCACAGAGCTGCTCAAAGTGCGGCCAGAATCATAGGTTCGTGGAGAGTCGTGATAGGTGCCAGTGCCAGTGCCAGTTCTTGGAGGAGAGGGAGAAGTCATGACGTGAAATCAGTGGCGGCAGCGAGGAAGCCAACGATCGCGATATGTACGTCTTCAGCTGGATATTGAAGCCGGCGAGGGCGATCGCAAAGCGTACCCAGGACAAACTGGCATGGCAGTCGAATTGTTAAAGCGCGGCTGAGCCGGCGACAAGTGGGTGTGGGTTAAGCTGCCGGAGTCTATTGTGTTTTACAGAGGAAAACCATGCAACAGAAGGTTCTAATTGGAAAAAGGGTGTTCGTGACCGTCAACAGTTCGAGTTCAAGAAAATGTAATGAACACAAAAGGCACACGACACACAGCAAAAAACACAATAGTTGGAACGGAAGGTAACGAAATAAACTGGGAAATTAGAGATTGGAGATCCACGTCCTCAGGCTTTTGACAGGCGTTTCGACGCGCCCATGGCCTGGTCTGTGCAGGCTGGGTCAGGACCCCCCCAAGGCGTCATCCATTAACCGTTAGTGGGTGAGATTACCTGCTGAGCTCTAGAAGCGCCAGAGCGTCATAGGCCGGCAAGGCACTTCCAGGTCGTTTGCATTGATTGTTTCTTGCCATATTCCTCATGGATGCATGCATTTCTGTGTAATGAAATCATCGAGGCCTAACGGTCCATCGTTCCCAGCCATTGCACCCTATTATCTAGAGGTTTCATTGCAGCCTGGTTCTCAGTCTCTATTATCTACGTGAAGCATTGTAAGCATTGTCTCTCATCCTCGCACGATACCCCTGCCAACCTATCAACCCCAGTCGTGCCCAGCAAGCCTAGTTGTCGTTACATGGCTTCTGGCTGCCTCCTTGCAGCAACGCAGATCCTTGGTTGACAGGCTCCAGGCACAGAGCAAAGGGGTCTCTGTGCCTGGGCTTGATTTTTGATACGGATACGCGAATAAATCTCGAGGTTTTTGGTCAATGGGTACTCTGTATCATGCGACACAATCCGATGTTCCGCAATCACGCGAGCCAGATACACAAGTATTCATCGTAACAACAAGTTTACAAACTTTCAAAGGAAACTTGTGTCCATGACATCAGACTAGGTTCCATCAAAAAGCCTGCCGAGACGATAAACTTCGCTTGCCGCTTGTCACTATCGTCAATTCTTCGATCCTCCTTCATCCTTGATTTAACCCCACAGGTATTAGGCCCATACTAACGTATTTTGAGCGGGCTATTCTGGGATATCTGATGTACTTGGTCCTTAGACTTTCTCACTTCTAAACTCCATATGACTTACACAAATAGTAGCCCCAGCCTATCCTTTCTAGACTTCATGTAGTTATCTCGGTTGTAGCAGGCTTATATTTTCAAGGTCCTACTTAAACTTCCTTACCTTACTTCGAGGTGGTGTGTGTTTCTCCGTAAGCTAGAAATGTAGTCATTCGGATCTCTCACTACCTAGAGAAACATCCTAGCAGGTGGTTATCCCGACTTCGCTATCATTACACAATTATTTTCCCAACCAAGTGGAACCTCCTGGGTATCTGGCAAACTGATGTAGTATGACGAGTAGCCAATTATGATTTTTTATGCTTCCCCCGTCTTCCTCCGTGTCATTTCTAATTTATGCTTCTCGGGTAGGCATAGCTAAGGTACCTATGTTTCAACAAAGGTTGTCATCTAGGGCCTGGGATTCGAGGAGGGCCATCACCCTCCAGTAGCCGTCAATCCCGGTCTCCAAGAACCGCACTCTTCTATTAATCCGTTTCAATGGTTTGCCCGTTTTCGTAGGATCGTAGGGGAGTTCATATCAGACAAAACCCATAGGAGCCGCCCTGAGTGCTATTCGAGCATCCAGATGCGTACCAAGGGGAGCTACCACGCTCGATATATAGGTTTGAGATCTGTCGGCTTAAACTTTGCCGGTCATCGTCCAGTCTCCTTGTCGCTCTTGTGAAATCCCAACCACTCGCCTAGCATGCCTCCCGGCTTCGGCAGTGGGCATTCCCTCCTTGCTCTATCTTGTGCGTTCTCTGCCTCGTCACTCGCCACATCGTTGAACTGAACAATCCCATCTTCGACTTTGGGATTGGCGTCCTTCCTCTTCCATCTCATCCGTCGGCCATTCTCGTCAACCATAACATCTCCATCGGCGAAGCGGGCCCGTGGCACGGGGCAAGGAAGCAAATGCGGAATCGTGACGACTAGAAAGCATGCGGCGACTGTCGTTGCGAAGAGCGACGATGTCATTCGCGATTTTGGGTGAAGGAGTGGTGGCATGATCCTGGGTAGGTCTGGAGGTCGTTTGGTTTAATGTGGACTCTAAAAGTCTCAATTGGTCGTCAGCGGGTGTTTCAATGGGTTCTAGATGCCATTGAACTCACATCAAAGCTGCAGCATCGTCCTCCGGACAAGCATTGACCAGGTCAACGTTGCCGACAGTCTCGAGCGATTTGTTGTGGTGATCCAGAATTCGTAAAGGCTCACCCAAACCTGAGTTATGATGTGACTCTCATTGGCTACCGGCGGAAGGGGATTGTCTCGGCCTCGGCTCTATGTAAGCCCGTTCTTTAGCTGTTCAATTGGTGGGGCAGCTGGGTGTCTCCACCCCCGAAGAGCGTCACTCAACACCGCGAATCGCGAAATCTCCAAATCCCCAACTACAACCAACTCGCGAGACCAGCTTTCAAGTCATCCCCGCGCTCAGCTCAGATCACGTCGTATCGCATAGCACTGTATCGCATAACAGCTCCTGGCTACACACGATATGTTATGATCATTCTCTTCGACAAGGCTTAGGATTAAAGATTAGCGGCGCACGCATCCCCACGTGCCAGCCCACCAACTCTACCCTTTCAGGATGAGCGACCTTGATAAGTGAGGCTGAATGCCCGATCGCCGGTCTTCGGATTCTTGAGCTAATAACTCATACTCAGGGCCATTGCGCAGCTGCGCGCATGCCGACCGATTCCGGAAGCGCAAGTCCGCGAGCTCTGTCATAAAGCTCGGGAACTTTTAATAGAAGAGGGCAACGTCGTCACTGTAACGGCACCAGTAACGGTATGCCTCATGCCTTGATGAAGGCTCAGCAATCTCTGATTCTCTTCTTAGATATGTGGTGATATTCATGGCCAGTTCCACGATTTGATGGAGCTCTTTCGAGTTGGAGGCGATGTTCCAGATACAAATTACCTTTTCATGGGTAAGACCAGTCTTCATCACATCCAACCAACTTTCACACCTCTAATCAAAACTCCTAGGCGACTTCGTCGATCGCGGCTTCTATTCACTGGAATCTTTCCTCCTTCTGCTCTGCCTAAAAGTTCGATACCCCGATAGAATGACACTAATCCGCGGCAACCACGAATCCCGCCAAATCACCACAGTCTACGGTTTTTACGATGAGTGTATAAGAAAGTACGGCAGCGCCAATGTTTGGCGTTACTGTTGCGACATCTTTGATTATCTGGCACTTGGTGCGATCGTATTGGGCGCCTCTAACACCATGTCGCCTGGGGTGGAACCTGTCGATGACGAAACCGAGATCGAGGTTTGCGACCAGAACGGCTCTATAATGAGCCGTTTCCCCCGACGTCGGCCAGATGATAGCTCGCAAGATCAGATCCAAAGCCCAGGTGGGACAGCAATGGACAAGACAGGCCCCCCTGGATCGGGCGCTTCAGGGTCAAGCGGTGGCTCGGTGGGGAATCCAGCCGGAGCAGTGCTTTGTGTTCACGGCGGTTTGAGTCCATTGGTCGATACAGTTGACAAGATTCGCTTGATTGACCGCAAACAAGAAGTTCCTCATGAGGGTGCCATGTGCGATCTACTCTGGTCCGACCCCGATGAGATTGACGGCTGGGGTCTTTCCCCACGAGGTGCAGGCTTCCTCTTTGGAGCTGATATCGTCAAGGTGTTCAACCATCGAAACGACCTGAGTCTCATTGCCCGTGCGCATCAGCTTGTCATGGAGGGATTCAAGGAAATGTTCGACGCTTCTATCGTCACTGTATGGTCTGCTCCAAACTATTGTTACCGCTGTGGAAATGTTGCTGCAGTCCTGGAACTCTCCGAGGACGAATCTGGCACAGGTCTCTTCGCCCGTAGCAACGGTGATGTTGGCAGAAGCGATGGTGGTACTGGAGTCATGATCGAGGGTAGTATGCCTCCTAGGAGCGGTCCTGCGCGGCGATACAGGGTTTTCCAAGCTGCACCCCAAGATTCGCGAGGAATGCCTGCCAAGAAGCCAGTTGCGGATTACTTCTTGTGATCATCTATCTTGCCATTGTCTATTATTTTCACATCTACCGGCCACAGATGTGGCTTTGTATCACGGAATTAACTTGGGTTTGGGGTTATGGGCAGGGTATGGAGTTCGATAATATTTAAAATTCATTATATACCACCTGAATCAAAGGGTATCGTCATGGTACGCCTCATATATGCTTGATGTCCACGCAATGCAGTTCGATCAGTTCCAAGCTACTTTCCAAAGGTTCTAAGCCCATGCAACAAGCCACTCACACTATCAACATACCTCCTGGTCCCTGGCTTGGATGCAGCTCCGCACAGTTGTCAAACCTCTCAAGCAATTCCAACCAATTTTGCAAAGTGTCGAAGCTTTCAATAGGCCCCCAGCTTGAGGATACGGGGTTCTCGTAGACCTCGATCTGAAACATGAGTGCCTGTTCGGGTTCGTTTTTCCTTCCTATAGGTGTCAAGAGGTATGGCATCCCTTTCAAGGTATCACGCAGTATGACTTGGTCTTCAGTAGACAGTCTTCCACAACGTCTGCAAATGTCAGAGACAAGGGTAAGGACAGCGGCGGCAGCATTGACCTCGTCGATGCTGAACGCTCTGTTTGTGTTCCAATCATGCGACACAACGGGTTCAGGGAATTCCGAAGCCGTTGTTGTTTCTGAAGCCGTCTTTGGATTGAAACTATCAAGGATCTGGTCGAAGCTACAGGCATGCTTTTGGTCGATGTCAGCGGATTCTTCCGCCTCGTTCGACGTATATTTTGGTGCCCTACCATGTCTAGACAAGAATTCTTCTTCACCTCCACCAAGAAGTCTCGGCCTCAGGATCGAATATGTTTCGATACAGGTCGAAGATAGTCGTGTCCTTTCTTCTTCCTCTCCCTTGTGCCATGAACTATGGCGCTTGAACCTTTTGCGTCCGACACGAGTCCGAAGGACTGAAAAGAGTTCGAACCAATCTGAGAATCTTGAGGAGGTATTTTCGCCTGTGCCATACGGACCATAACGCCCATTTTCCGCCGAGACTTCCTGGTGCTTCCTCTTCTTCGCTTGCTGACCCATGTTGGATGTAGCTTGCTTTGATCTTTCCTTGATACTTGGTGGTCTGGCTTGACAGTGGATAAGCCCAAGATTGGAACCGATAATTTAATGTGCGGTATGCCCTCAACTCGACAAGTCAACGGGATGCTAAGTCTTCTATCCCTCGGATATTCATCAGGAGTCATGTAATTGTTCCCGTGTGAAGGGTTTGGGATGTTTGCAAATACTTTGCATCCGGGTCGGCGGGAGGTTTTATAGGTGTGAGGCGACATACGTTCCGCACAGCGCAAAGTGTTAAAGATGTCCTCAGTAGATTGTTCGACTGCCTGTTCGTAAAGAGGCGGTGCAGATATGACCTGGTCAAGCTCTTCCCGTTTTGTTCCTATCTGCTTTCCCAGATCGGCAGAAAGCATTGCCATAGATGTTTAATTGTCAAGTTGTGAGGTCGTGAACGGTATCAAGGATGCGAAAACTGAAGTGAATGATCGAACAACGGTCGGTTCGAGAGAGTACTTGATTAATATTCGATATGAGAAATAGCATGTGTTGGTATCTCCTATTCTCAACGCCCTATCAGCAATCGTTCTTTGAAGATTGATGAAAGACCCATTGTTCCTTTGGGTTCGTTGTTCGTTTTGTCGCTGTCGACGTTCGACTTATGCTTTATGTTCCAAGAATTCTGCGAGACATTCCAACAATAAGATCTTTGTCTGTAGAGGACAAAGCTACAGGAACATCATAGTATGGTCGACCTCAGCCTTGTCGCTGGGTTTCACTGTTTGCTCATCCAGAGGTCTCTCCCAGGTTCCGTTTCATTGCCCAGTTCGCCATGGCAAGACATGGAACACCACCCACATACAAGCTTGATGTGTTTCGACAAGACGGGCGACCGATAGGGAACCCATAAGGATATGTGGGGAAATGCACATCGCCGTCAAAAGGCGAGGTCAAGTCTTTCGATAGGTCGAAGGAGCTTATGCCTAGCGATTTTATCGAATCCTCTTGAACTTCACGCAAATTGCATCAACGCGAAGTTGCTTGTCGGTACCTGTTCGATGTGGATGGCAGAGGATTTTGAGGCCACCGGGCGCAACGAAGTCCATTGGGTCGGACAAAAGCTCTCTGTTGGTTGGCCATCCAGTCAACACGGTCCTGAAGGGCCACCATCTTGTCCTACAGGGTTGTGAAAGGAAGTCATGGGAATGCTATAACCCATCGTTGACGAGACATCCCCAGGCATGGGTGCTACAGAGTAGCTGTGTCGCCGGGGATCATCCATCAAAGATCCAGGGGTAGCGATAGCGTGGTAGCTTTCGGTCCGTGAAACTTGAGGATCAGGGAACATCTGAGAGGTGTAGTGTTGGGGATGCATTGATGAAGTTATCGACTGCCTCGGTACTGGTGTAGGGACGTTGGAGGGGAGTGGCCGGGCGTATGCTGAAGGTGGCTGGATGGCTTGGCCAGATTCCCATATAGAAGAACTGCTCGTAGATCCACTCGCGATAGATGGTTCACGGCTTTCCTGCGGAGGGAGGCCGTAAGATACGCCAGTATCGAGAGCTGTAGGTCTCCGGGGTGCTATGACCTGCTGTAGGGATTGGACACTATCGCTGTGAGTGTTTGGGGGGAAGTGCGATATTGCTGCCGGATCGTTCTGCGATGCTGTGCCCGAGTTCAAGTAACTAGTAATGTAGTCATCGCTGATCCCATGACGGTTGAGAAGACCACGGAGTTGTCTGTTCTCCTCTGCAACCCTCCGCGCAGCATGTTGCACCTCCGAAGACGCCTCGACACCCTGCAACTCATACACTCGGAGTCGTTGCTCGAGCTCTTGGAGATACTCTCTTCTTCGGGCCCGGGATCTCCTCTGATTATCTCTAATCCGGGCAAGGTTTGCTTTTTGCTATAGACAAGGACATGCCAACATTAGGAACATGGATCGAAGAGGAACGGATATGGACAGAGGAACGGGCCACGTACTGCCGGCGTTGACATTTAGTCGTTTTATAACTTGACGGGACAGGCGTTGTCAATATGCGACAAGTGTTCGGCATCTAGGCCAGATCGCGAATCTCGTGACAAGCTCTTTGCGACAGCGCCGTGGTGTTGGTCAACAACCAACACTGGTGAGAATCAACGAAAGGCACAAATGATAATGGGCAAGAGTCCAAGTGGTATGAAGCTGGAGCGGTCCTGATGAAAAACAACCCAGGTCTAATAGATGAAGCTTTCCCTTTTATTGAAAGGATGGATGGGGCACCAGCGGTGACATATACCAGGGTATTTATGAAGACTCAAGACGATAAGCTCACGAGAGGGTCCGCCACATGGGAAGGTCAGCCACAGCGGCAGGTGTTTCTTTAGAATACGGCGAAAGGAAAGAAAGAGGTATTGGGGGCATCATACTACGGTCTGGAGGAAGTATCAGATACATGTGCCTCTAGAGATCCAGGGCCCGGAGAAACCCCATCAACGGACGGGGCAGCCCTATTGGGACGAAGACCACTGGGCCGGCGCGGGACAACGAGACCAGTCGATGCAAGTGGCAGCCGGTTATGCTGGGAATATGCTGCAGGGCTGCGCTACAAGCAACAGTCATGAGCTAGCTGCAACCCTGGTGCATTGCAATCTGCAAAAGACAAAGAGCCGGTCAACTCGGTAGCAAGAGATCCATGAACCGGGCGAGCGAGCAGCGCGCCACCAACTCGATATGTGGAAAATGCTAACAAGCCACACTTGGACGCTGACACCGCGACTTTCGAATTGCTCCTCTTGACATGCCCCGTCCGATATCTTGTTGACATTCTCAAGAGGCGAGTGAAGTTGAGATCACATTGCGTAGGTAGGTAGGTAGGTAGGTAGGTACTGTACAGTAGTCTAGGGGGTGTAGAGGAAACAGAAGATAGGTGTCTCACTAGCAAGCCGTATACACGTATGTACTCCATCCAGGCGGGCCCGACAGAATATGAGACTTGGGGATGTGAGAAACTGTATCGAAAGCCATGAAACCACCATTCTAGCAGCTGTGCCAAGAAGCAATTGATTGAACGGGAAGTGTTGCCGTACAGCAAATAGGTGTCTGGGGACCACTGGCGATGCCTCCAGGGATCCTGTCCTTGGGAGGTAGTGGCTGAGAAGATTTTGAGTTCACGGAAAGCGGAGTTGTAGCTGAAATGACGGAGGCCTGGACGGTAGAGGGGCCAGGACCCAAAACCGCCGATGTTAGTGATTTGGTGAATGGGCATCATGCTTGGTTGGGCATAAACCCATTGACGACGACATGATTCGGTGATTGCGAGGGCAGCGGCTCCGAGGGTATGGCTAATAAACGGCACATCACACCCACTTTCGAACCTCGCTGCAGAAAAAGACGGGCTGGCGTGAGCCGTTATTGCCCCCTCCTCGGGGGGGAAATTTAAACGACCCCAACTACACCAAAATTCGCTGGTGTGAGGGGTCGTTTTTTATTTCCCCTAGCCCCTTGTGGCGATAAGGTGGGTGTAAGTCAGACGGACAGGGTGCGCTGTACGGAGATCATTGCTGAGCCACGCGCTCATAAACACGCATCCTTGAAACCCAGTCGCTGAGAACATGAGGATATGAAAGTATCAAGCCCTCCCATCCGATCCCAACCCAATCCAACACCAACACCAACGCCAACATAGCCGAGGACACAGAGTTATGTGTGAGCACAACACTGTTCCAGCGGCGGCAACGGCGAAGGGGCAGTAGATGTGTATCCTCATATGTTTTGCGATCGTGTTTGCCTGTGATCGTGAAGGCTAGCATCTTGAAAACACATAGTCTGCTGACAGGCATCTACGCATGTATGTAGTGGGAAATCTCACAAGAGCCGTGCTGCCGTGGGAACCAAGACCCCTAGGGTGACACCATTCCCCAGCTACCATTAAGGCTAAGCTTTGTTGGAGGTGTTGCCAGTCGCCGTTCTTTTCTTTTTTCGAAATATAACAAGGGCGTTCTGAGGAGAGTTAGGAGATCAGGATGTGAAGCTATGGATGCCGCTAGCGATGCACGGTCGCTCATGTCTAGGGAACCGAAAAAAGAACGACAAGGCCAGTCTCCAAACAAAAAAAATCAGATCCATAATAATCCATCAAACAAAATGGAGGAGTACGTACGTATCATCTGGCCGTTTATGAAGGCGTCGTCTGGTGGGTCAACACTATCCCCGTTGCTGTTATGCGATCACAGTTAGATTCCACGGCGTATGACTAGGACCGCAACGGTCCAGAATGAGAAAACAATAGGCGGTGATGCAAATTCGAATGGCTACACCAAAACAGAGATGGCCCAACCACAGCTCGAGGTCCGTATTGCACAGTAGGTACAATACCTAACGCGGCGGGCGCAAATACAGAGAACGTAATAGCATTGTTGAAATGGCCGGGATCAATTAAGGGAGACAGATCGCGAGCCTAGAACGAACCAAGCGGATCATGGTCATACTGTACTGCAATAGGCACGTCTATGCGATGTAACATGCTGGAACTTTTCTTTCTTTCTTTTAGCTATCCCAGTTGATCCGTGTGAAAGGAGAAAGCATCTGAGCAGTCATTTGCTTGCGTGGAAGCAATAGCCAAGCTGGGTAAGTCCAGCAGGACAGGGACATTTGCGCAGGAGAATGCACAGATTGAGATTGGATGCTATGATTGAGTTGGCTGTGCCTTAATGACTAGACGATGTCGCGATAGTTATGACGCAGTGTGTTCTGCACCTGGGGCTGGGCTGGCGAAGATATCGTCATGTGCCTGCCATTCCCCAAATTTGAGTGAGCCCCCTAAATCTCGATCTTCGCCAGGGAAGAAGACGACCCCAAGGCTGATCCAAGGGTTTGGAACTCAACGTCGAGATGTGGCTGAGGGGCCTGAGTCCAGACCATGTCCCCACCTCGGCAAATGCCGACCGTTGAGGGTTAGCAAAACTGGTCAGTTTAAACGACCCAAGCTTGGTAACAAGACAAGCAATTGCCAGAACTGTTAGTCATCGATAGACTTTTATTT